GGTCAAGTGGTATTGGTTTGATCATGATAGTGTTAGTGATGCTGGGCAGCCATGAATAACTGAAGTAGAGATCCATGTCAGAGATCTGGTCATTTTTTTTTTACAGTATCTAAAAAGACACAAGTGTATTTGTGCGTATGTTTGTGTAGCGTAGCCTTCTTTTCTTGTTCTGACATGTCACCTCTCATCCAAAAGTCTTCTAAGTAAATGTAACTTCAAGAAAGCCTTCAAGAAATAAACAAAAAGATCAGTTTATTTATTTTAAACTTTTACGATAGTCCTGTCCTGGATGACCGATAATCTACACCAACACACAAGACGTCACAAAGTTCTAGATAACACATGCTTCAAATGATATTAAAAAAGCCAGACCTTAAAACAGTTGTTCAGAAAATCATTGGAATAGACATCCTTTGTTGAACTTCTAATTTATGGTAAAAATCTGAGAATCACAGATGCTAATGCTGGGAGTATTTGCACATTGTAACAAAAAAAAACCCTCTACTGACACTAAAAGTATTGTGTAGGGTGTGCAGGAACAAGAACACGCCATGTGTTTCCCGTCCTTTGGCACATACTTGTCTAAACATATCAAAGAAACACTAACAGCAGATGAGATTTCATCTAAAGACTCAAGCCTCATCCCAGCTTCAGAGAACAAAAATAAATAAATAAATAAACCTGATGGTGTCCATGTGCAAGCAGAAAAATGCTACTCATGAGCACACATGGACACATTAACTTCACTCAGTCATTTGTATTTATATGCACATGTTGTTTCTAGTAAAACAAAACCAAAAAAGGGAAACCTTTAAAAGAAGGTTCTGCTTTTTATCAAATACAATGACCACTATAAATCCATGTCAGTAAACCATTTACCAAGATTAATTGCATACATGCTGTAGAAAATTTTAATGGCTGAGTGGTTACAATACATATTATGTAGACATTGTATTTAACTGCTCTCCGTCCCGTTTCCTGTCTACKTCTACTGCTTATAAAAATGGCAAAAAAGATTAATACTAAAAAAAATACTGTGGGTCTTAAATCACTGCTGGATGATATCATCTGAGTAAAATGTCAATAAAAAATACTATTATTTTCACTTATGTCATGGGTTATTTTGAGTCATTTCATTTGCCACATCTCTATTTCTGTATATGTTCAATAAAGTGTCATTGGTCGTGTTGCTATCAGTGTTTTTTATGCACATTTTGAAGTACAGGGGTAGAAAAGGTTGACGAAAAGAGCAAAATCTTTATTCCGCTTGCTTAAGTTGGTTTTTGGATTCTGCAAAAAAGTAAAAAATAAATAAAAAAGCTAACATCCAAAAGTGGAGACACATTTACACATTCACTAAATAAGTTCTGACTGAGCGAATATTTACCTGACAAGAATGAGCAGCCGTTTCTGCTGTCTGCATCTTTCCGGACATTCCCATTACGCAAAGAGAATTGCGTTATACTTATTTCTCAAAATCCGCTTTACAATTAGATGGAAACATGGCTATTGTTAAAAATAAAAGTTCATGAAATCAGACTTATAGGTGAAGGTCAAGCTTTCTGGCATTCCAGTGTGTTACACAGATCGATGATGGCTAATTAGGTGAGGAAATACTCCATTTATTATTTCAGATCTATAAGTTTTGACATATGTTCAAGGTCTGTGAAAAGTATTCCAAAGTAATCGTTGGGGAATTCAGGTAAAGACAAACGCAAGGACAGCTCCATAATAAATCACACTGACATTGTAATTAAAAAGAGAGTGAGATCTTCAAGAGCACAGCCTCCGGCTTAAGGGCTTTATCTCTATTTGGTTTTGATCCTTATCACCTCTATTTCCAAATCGAGGAAATTGATGTTAGAGAAGCTTAACACAGGTAAACTGTCCTCAGGTTCACCCTGACTACTCTCTCTCATTACCCTGCTGCCTTGCTTATTGCTCTATCCAATGTGCTATTCTCTCCACTGGGTAATGGCTTTCAGAAGCTGATGGCTATAGGTTTTCTAAATAAAGCTTCCATGCATGGCATGTTGAAGGGAGACAAGTGTACATTCCATCTACTGTATATAGTATGTGTTAGATCCAGTTTATCTTTTTCTTCTTTTGTCTAGACACAGAAAACAACAGTATGGCTGCATCAACTGAAGTAGATTTTGATTTTACAGATTTTACTGACAAGTACAAGTCTTTAAAATTTGGTATACGTGAATTGCATTGTTTTAATTCTCTAAATACCAGCTTGGATGTAAAAACGTTTATTACGTTTGAAACATTTGGCTTCAAGGTTGGATTTTTTTCCCCCTTTTCCTAATTTGACACCACCCTTATACTAAATCAGTCAAACCTCACATGACATTCTAACTGGATTTCCCCTGATCTGGGCCACGTAAACATACTCCTCATGTATTCTCCGTCACCTCCTTGTATTCTCTTTATCTCTAGACAAACACTAACCAAGTTTGTTTCTTTGGTAATTTTTCTCTAGCAAAGGGATCTGAATCTGCAGTCAGTGGAAGACAGCTCATCTCACATCACAAGGTGTTTAAACCCATTAGGTTCTCAGCTTTGCTTTCGCCTTATTTCTATTCATGTGCAGAGAAAAAAAGGAAAACAAGAGAAGCGCTCAGATGCTTTGTGAAATGTAATTACACAGACAATTGAGCACGCAGCAGCTTTGTTTTTGTTTTCAGATTAGTGCAGTTATTTCATAACTTACTGTACAGTAAGTAAGATTGCAGTGGGAAAACTGCAATCAGCTGACAGACAAGAAATGAAGAAAAACCCTACTGGGCATCAGCTTCACTCAAGAGTTGCTGGGTGTTTTCCTGCGTGGTCCCCTTGTCTTACTGCCCCCACACTCCCACAGATGAGGTGAGGTAAGACTTGGAGCCAGAGCATTGTGCCATCTGGATAGACA